TTTTTTTTTTTTTTTTTTTTTTTTTTTTTTTTTTTTTTTTTTTTTTTTTTTTTTTTTTTTTTGTCAAATTTAAGCATTGGAGTCTGCATGGCAGATATTACACCGATGTTGAACTCTTGTTCTTTTGTAAGTCACCTTGTCCGAAATTAAGTAATTTTAATCACTTCTGTCCGATTGCTTTATCCTAGTCACCTTATCCTAGTATTGGAATCTAAACTTGTTCTAATCGGTTATAAAGATTCAAAATAATAATAAAGTAAGTAGACCTACCCATTAAAGCACAAAATTGTTCGGGAGTGAATCTGCATGATCTCAATTAAGATACGAGATGAGTATGGCGTGGTGTCAAGTGTCTCAATCTACAATACGATTGTGCTCCGAGTAAGTCATCGAGGACGATGACGAAGTTAAGTGGGAGAGAATCTCACAACCATACTATGAAGAGAGTAGGTTGTGACCCTCACGTCATGACGACCAAAGCGGCATCCCTCAAGAGACGCCCATCCAACCACATGCGGGCCAATATAGAAGAGTGCCATGATGCAATCGAGGAGGACGATGCATCATCCAACACACCACCACGCGAAGTGGGCATTGAAGACAAGTTGAGACATAAGTAAGACAAAGACATCAAAATAGACATGAAGTGCAAAGATAGGCTTGTTGAAGGGCCGGGTAGGACCCCGGGCCTTAATCTCAAAAGTCAAGGTTCGGAAGGAATTTGGGCATGCGATTCGGGAGTTAAGTCCGTCCATATGAAATATGAATGCTCGCCAAGTTTTGTGTCAATCGGACACTAGACGGACAATGCATGACACCGGATGACCGTTCACCAAAATCATGTCTACGCCTGGAAGATTGAAAATGGTTCAAAATGTACGGGTACCATGGTGTTAGCTCTCCACCACCCCTGGGCCCTGTGGCCTAAGTGAGCTACCCTATGGCACATACGTGTCACAGTGTAGGTGAGCGTGCTGAGACGAGTGTCTCGAGCGACTTCCTTTGAAATGAATTTTTGAAGGATAGTACCGGACGGCACGGGTGTGCCAATATTGCGCCCTAGCCTGTGTGTTGGAGGTTGCTACATACACCTGCTATCCGGTATGGTATCCGTAAATGACTCGGCATGGGCACGGGAGGCCCAATGCCTCGATAGAACCCAGATGGATGGATGTTCAGGAAATCCAAATGAGATGAAAGACAAGCGGGCCCATTCTCGATGGCATGACCGAGCGAGTTATGATGGCCGACGACATCCCGAGACTCGGGATGGCGTCAAGACATATAGATCTTGTCAATGGGGATCGAGATGGCAAGATGAGATGCGACGTTGCATTGAGAGACCTTGGCATGAGCAGAGGCAAGGTCAAGCCGAATGACTTGGCCTAGCGTAAAGGCAAGTCGGATGTGTCGTAGACGATTGAACATGCACGTGCAGGCAGCGTGTGTGATTGAACAAGCTTGGATTCCGCACAAGCGATATTCGATTGGCGAAGACAAACCTCACCTAAGGTCCGACGAAGCCACAAAACCGGGGCAAAAAATAATTATGGGGCTTAATTCCCCTTAAGGCTAGTCGTGAGCGTGTCAAGATCACGACGCCGCACAGTAAAACATGTAGGACCATAACATCAGGCATACACACTCCAATGCTGAAGTCGTCCTAAATTTCTAGAAAGATATAGTAAGAGACATGTCATTTCTAACTCTCTATGAAGAAAAACTTATAGTTCTCAAGAAATCATGTGTTGAATTGAACAAAATTAAGGTTAGTCAAGAACTTGACAATTGTAGACCATATGTCAGGTCGTATTGGTTCTGGTTGGCCTCTAAGTGAGGTTTGGTCTTCTTGGATTTAGGTCTAGTCGACCTGAGCCCAACATTTAGACGACACCTTTACTTATCTCGAGTGAATTTTGTAGTTCTATTAATTATCATCAAATTTTAATTACTACAATTATTGAACTAAAAAAATTATTAAATTAACTTAGACATATATTAAAACATCATTACATAATTTTAATAAGTTATATAATCTTAAAAAGACATTTGTAAGATTCTATAAAATAAGTAAATTAAATATACATTAAAAAATAGAAAATGCCCGGAGAAGTGTGAAAGCAGGATTGAATCTTCCTCAGATATGGAATTTTAGTTCTTTTTTTTAATGTAAAAAATTAAAAGATATCCAGTTTGACTTAGTCATATGAAAGTTTTTGACATATTTTCAGTAATATAATACGATAAATATCTTTGACTCTGACCTGGTCTCACTTTTTTTTAATTTTTTTTTCGTCTATAATATTTTAATTTTATAACAATTTAATTTATAACATGAATTATCTGTGGTTCTAACTTTATAACAATTTAACTAATAACATGAATTATCGGGTCGATAAAATTTTTGGAAATGTAGGTAATAAATTTTTATATTAATTTAAGATGATTTGATTTTGTATGCATTATTTGTCTATAATAATTCAATATTTTATTGTCATTATTTTTTATCTTTATAAAATTTTCACTTTAGATTTCTAGAAAAATAAATTGAGTTATATATGTTGTTTATTACTAAATGAATAAACTAATTTAGTTTAATTATAAAATGAAAATAAAGATAAGTGATGAAACACTTATAAAATGGAAGGAAAAATACAATTTATTTAAACCTAAAGTATAGTATTTGATGTAAGAATACAAAAAAGAAACTATTTTGTATAAAATAAACAAATATTTGCATAATGAAATTACAATTAGTAAACAAGAATTGTACTATATATGTATATATATATATATATATATATATTAAAGAAAATAATAATAATAATAATAAAATGGTAGACTCCAACATCCACAACATGATACAAATTGCCTTATTACAGACTGAGGGGAGAAGAAAGTGTGCCTACATTAAAAAGAGATAATGGGTATCATTTTTGGTTCTCCAAAATTAAAAAATAAAATATTGTTATATAATAAGCTTTCATGGTCGTGTTTATTTAATTTCTAAATCACAAAAGAAAAAAATCAATTACATCTCTATATGAAAAATTGAATCTAATTTAACCATATGGTAAGAAAGACAAAAGTGACTAATTAGAAAAAATAAAAAGACTAAATTCTAGATGTGAGACCTAAAATGTTACCTTAAAAATAAGGTATATGGTAGTGCCACTTAAACTACTTAAACTGTTCATTCTTTTTGGTCATATATGATGCCATACATGTTAATTTAACCAACACAAGATAACCTGAGAAAAGACGTAATATCCTCGATGAAGCGACTAAAAGTTCAAGTTCATATTCCCTATCTAGTAATAACTTAAAACTGACATATCCGAAGGCTGAAGCAGGTCGCTTACATCCATCCAAAATAAAAAACAGAATACTAGTAATGGTTTTTTTGCAGATCTAAAACAGACTAAACAAAATCAAAATCCTCCAGCTCAAACAACAAGACGACCAGAAGTTTCTAAAAAAGAAAAAGAAAGTAATTTAGTATGTGCCTAGAAAAACAAGTAATTTAGTACAACCAAGATGTTCATGTTGAGGATGTTGGGAGGGAGTCACGTTGACTAATTAAGTGAGGATCACGAGCTTATAAGTAAGGTATACATCTCTATTGGTATGAGACTTTTTGGGGAAACTAAAATCAAAGCTACGAGAGCTTATACTCAAAATAGACAACATCATACCATTGTGTAGGTCGTGGTTTCCGGCGGTTCATTATGAAGGCACCTACCTTCACTGTTTAGAAGAATATTTATATTCAACAGAAAGAAATTCTGGCCTAATATGACGCTTAATGCAAATCCTCAAAAATCTCCTAAGAAAGTAAAGAAGCAAAAAGCGCTACACGATGAAACAGGCTTTCTGTGTTCATTTTTGAATCTCTCATGTTCCCTTCGCCCCTAGACTCTCCTAACCCCCCCTCTCCAATCCAACCCCACAGAAGAGGAGGGTCCTTAAACAAAGGAGAATCTTGGAAAACAAGTATGATGCGCCAATCTCCTATTTATAAGCTAAATATATCGAGAAGTGATACACTCAATGGACATACATCTGTATCCCTAACCACTAAAAATGGAAGCGAAGTGAGAAAATGAAAGTAACTTCTTTAACCCGTTGAACCAATGTAGACAAGGAATACAAAAATAATTACCCCATAGCTATCATCACTAATAATACCAAAAAGTACTCTTCAATCTTCATCTAATCCTCGTCCTCAGAATCTGTAAAGAAAATACAAGAGAAACATTTCAATATCAATTCAAATCATGAAATTTACCCATTTCAATATCTTGTTCAGTCTATATATCTTTCTTGATGTAAAACTACTTTTAGAATTAATCATAATATTTGATTTAATGTTAAATGACATATATATGTAATTCTTTTCGCCATAAAGTTTTAGAGCCTTTTTGAAGGTGTCTCCATTAAACTGCTTTTTAGGCTACTAACAATCATGCTGAAACTCTCTCCATGAATGAAACATGAAATAAGATGAATAAGACAACGAGTACAAATAACTTGTTGGAAATTATCCTACATTAATCTAAGACTCTCAGACAGGACTTGTTACAGGGTTACCCTTTTCTTATTTGATCAATGAGAAGATGGAAGTGCTGGTAAAGTTATGTACCAGATCTTATATCTTCTCCAACTTTCCCCCTATTTTTCAGCTGTCTACTGATCATAGAGCATATGAGTAACCACCAGTATATGTGGAACACAAGCAACATCAACAACATTGTGTTGAAAACATAGTATATCGATCTGGAATTCACATCTGATAGCTTCAAGTACTCACAGAGATCATAACTGAGAAGTTTCAATCACAAAATCATATAGGAAAAACGGTGAGTATTGAGACTAATCTTCAAAGATAAAATCAAACACCAGAAGCACAAACCTTGTTGCTTTTATAACCCAGAATGGAAAGAATATAAGACGCAATATGAGCCATGAAATGGCAAAACATCCAAAGAAGACACTTGCTCCAAGTTCATTCTCAGAATATTTAAAAACCTTGGCAGCTTCCATGAAGACATCACTTGCATCGTGGAGCGCAAGAATAACCGATCCAATCTGGAAAAATCTGCAAAATTGAGCATAAAAATCATGATTTAACATGTTATCTATTAACATAATCAATCCACCTTTCCATAATAAGAAATGCAGAGAGAAACAATGAAACAGTTGAGCAATCTTTGTACACACACCAAAAAAAAAAAGCAAAAGAAAAAAGAAAGTCTAGAGGCGTTAAAACAAAACTTTGACCCCTGAATACACAAACATAAAGTTATGCAAATACGTGTAACTTTCGCACATTGTTACAGTGACACCAACATAATCAAAGAAAAGGGAGGGTCACATCCTAAAGTGTGGGGTTCCAGTCTAGGTTACAGAAAACAAACATAATCAAGGACCCAAAAAAAAAAAAAAAAAAAA